CAGGAAAAGTAGTTTAGTTGCTTCTCATAATGATTTGAGTGTCGGTAGTGTTTTAACCCCGCTGTTTTGCTAGATTATTTCAAAGATTATTTAAAGATCAGAATCCGATTATAGAGATTCACCATATCTGCAGAGACTCCGCAAAAGACAAGAGCGCTGCCACCTCACTGGAGAAGTCAAAGAACACGTCGCCGCCTCCTGCTGCGCCTCCTCCAGCCCTCCCCGAAGAACCTCCATCCCTCCCCGAAGAACCTCCATCCTGCTGCCCATCCAAAGAGAACCCCGCTCAGCCCCAACAGGACAACCTGGCTGCTCCAGTGACCCCCAACACCCCCAGCGATGGCCTGGCCGGCATGGATGTCTCAGATCTGCTCAGTCCAGACACCACAGCCAAAATAGAGGCCCTGCTGATGGTGGCGGATGAGTTCTCCATGCCTGATGGAGGCGGCAGCAGCAGCGCCCCCTAGAGGCTCAGGCCTCACTCTTCATCTGTACTGTGTACAGATGGGTATCTCACATACACCTGTACCTCTGCTATAGGCACGCATCTCTCCCCAGGCCTGTGTGATCCTGATCCGAGTGTGTGGTTTTTGGTGCACTTTTAAGGGAGAGTAGCAGGCGGAGCAGTTTAGGGCACCAGGAAAAGTAGTTTAGTTGCTTCTCATAATGATTTGAGTGTCGGTAGTGTTTTAACCCCGCTGTTTTGCTAGATTATTTCAAAGATTATTTAAAGATCAGAATCCGATTATAGAGATTCACCATATAAAACCAAACGAGTTTATGCCCGGCCACATGTTGTACTTGAGTTTAAACTTGAAACCCACTACACATTAGTTCACTGGTGTATCTGAGACTTCAAAAGCAAGGCCTTCATCACAGTTTATGGGTAATGAAGTTATCTAGGTAAAGTCCTGCACATTGAAACATTTAAGTATTTTATGTGTAATTTATTAGGAAGGCTGCAGTGCTCATAATAATAATAATGTGATTTTTGAGATATTTTATTTTATAGTTTGTCATTCTGGATAAACTGCAATGAACATTTACCTGCCTTTTAAATGTAATTTAGAGGTTTGTTTGGCTGCCTATAATTTAGTATTTAATTTTATATATGTTAATTTATTAAAATACTCAATTGTTGGATAAATGTAGCTCTCTTTCCCAACTTTTCACAAAATGTTCCTTTTCTGTTTCCCCAAACTAGGCAAACTCTGTCTTTAAGTGAATCTCACAAAACTGTCTTGAAAATTTCTGGGTCATATTTCCCACAATCCAAAAAATATATATAAAATGGGAATTTTTGCATAAAGAATATTAACCCTATTTAATTTTTTTTATTTTTTTATATTAGTGACAATTTCATACCCAATTTCCATTATAATAATGTAAAACAATAGAAAGTGTTTATATATATTATTTCAACTGAATTGAATTTAGACTGATTTTAATTTTTAAAAAAATTATATTGTCTAAGTATGTGTTAATATAAAGCCCCGCACATAACATGAGGGATATAATATATATATATATATGAATTAAGAATTCATTCCCACAACATGTTTATTTGTGGCCACAATTTAATAATTTGTTAACTCATTTTATTTAAATCGTGACCACTATTTACTAATTTATTCCCTTGTTTTAGTTAAAATGACGAAACAAATTATTACGTGGCCATGATTTATTAAATTAGTAAATTGTGGCAATGAATTAAGAATTTGTGGGAATTAGTTATTTCATGGCCGCAATATGATTTTTTATTTTTTTTTTCCCTGCATGTGATGTGTGGGGCTCCATATATCAATCAAATTCAAAAAATGTCCATGCAAAAAATGTTTTTTTTTTTCCTTTTGATTTTTGGAAGAAATATGATCACTCTTGAATACTCTGTGATGGAATCAAATGCTTTTGCCTTTGTGATGGGCATGTGGTTGGGTTTCCTTTCTTTTTTCTCATTGTTTGTTACAGATCTGTTTCCCTCCTCTCATCAGTGTCTCCCTGCACTTTTCCTTTCGCGAAACCCGTTTCTAAACCCGCGTGAATCTCTTGTGACCCGCTCAGGGATACAGAAAAACAAGCAGCGGTATATTCTGAGGTGTGTGTGTGTGTGTGTGTGTGTGTACATGTGTCTTTCTGTATTTATGGGTTCCTGACCATATAAGCAGACACAACTCATCAGACCTGTTGTTTTTAACCTGCTTGTAGTGCACTACCCAGCCACGGTTCAACGCCGCTCGTTTGCCCCTCATTTATATACCACTGCTGTATAGAGGTTCTAAAGAGATGACCGTCATGTAAATACATAGTACATTTGAAATAATAAATGTTTAAGCCTTTAGATTGTATTTGTATTTTTGTATAGAACTATGAGAAATCAGACTTTGGGTGTGAGATGAGATGAGACGTGACTCTGCACTGCCTTTACTGTCACCTGTGCGTCTCTTATGCAGTATGTAGTTCTCCGCAGATCCTTGTGTTTCAGACTCAAGTTGGACAAGAATTGCCTTAGAACTCATGATAGTTATTTCATTTCAGCATGGAGTAGACATGGAGAGTTTGAATCGGATAGATATTACTGAGCGAGCCTTTTCCTATCCAGTGCCAAATTAAACCGTGAACTGACAGTGAAGCTACATTACGCTGGTCGAATCTGTGTACGTCACTCAATCAGTAGCTTTATTTATCCACTACATATTCTTTTTAAATATCTATTAATGGGACCTGTGCAAACCTAGTACTAAGTGCAATCTGTTTGAACAACGCCATTTTTTCCTAATAAATGCACTTACTTTGGGGTCCAGCCAATATGATGAGCAACTGTACCGGAATAATAATAATGCACATGCTTTCTGACCTTGTTTGTTCACATTTTCGCATAGGACTCTAGTTTTGACAATTTACTAAAGTACATGAAAGATTAATTTTGATCGAAGCCAGTTATTATTCATCACCTAACAAAAATGGGTAACTATGCAATGTCATAGAGCATATAGAAAAACATCAAACCACGCCATCTGTACATGTTCATAAGTGGGGGAAGTCGTGGCCTAATGGTTAGAGCGTCGGACTCGTAACCCAAAGGTTGCGGGTTCGAGTCTCGTACCGGCAGGGATTGTAGGTGGGGGGAGTGAATGTACAGTGTTCTCTCCCACCTTCAATACCACGACTGAGGTGCCCTTGAGCAAGGCACCGAACCCCCAACTGCTCCCCGGGCGCCGCAGCATAAATGGCTGCCCACTGCTCCGGGTGTGTGTTCACGGTGTGTGTGTGTTCACTGCTGTGTGTGTGCACTTTGGATGGGTTAAATGCAGAGCACTAATTCCAAGTATGGGTCACCATACTTGGCCACATGTCACGTCACTTTCACTTAAAATATCATGTGTGAGCATTCAGTGGTGATATAGAGAAACAGCCGTGTCCTGTTGCGTTGAGTATTTCATGTTTAAAAGCCTTTGTTTTTTTCCTTACGTCTCGCCTATCAAAATGTTTGTGTTGTGTACAGTTATGTTTGATGTGACTTTGTATCTGGCCATTGCAATGTTATATATGTATATTTTTTTCCTAATGAAAATTATTGCTGCTTCAATGTAACTTTTTGTTCTTATTCGCCCCCACATGACATGAAAATCTTGCATTTGTTTTTATGTTGGAAAAATATTGGTGAAAGAACGATTTGTTTGTCCATCAAGTCCTGATTTTATTCTTGCTCGAGATCAGCTCTTGTTCATGTAAACCCGCAATGCTGTTTTTAATCATTCCACTTTTTCCAAGTGCTGCCATCATCGTTTTTACGTTTTCATTCACTCATGGGTCTTTTAAATGCATTAGCTTATGATTTGGTCAACAAACTAGCTTATTGAACAGTTGCTTTTTTTCCCATTGGTATTTATTCTGATTTTCTTGTGGTTCAGGCAGCATCAAGGACACTTGGTCAAGAGGAAAAGTTGGTCTGGCATGTTAGTTGAGTCAGAAGCTTGAGGTAAAGAGGAAACAAATGCTTCCATAAGAATTGCTTTTGATACCCAAAGTGTGAGGAAACTGTAAAGATCTGTATTTTTAAAGAATGTGTAATGTGAAATTTTTTCTCATATGCTTGTTTTGTATAAAGTATTATGCATTATGGCACAGTAATAACTTTTTGAATCAAAAAGCAATACAATACCAGTAAAATCCTGTCTGAGTGGTTACATTATTTCACAAAGTTACACGTTTCAGAAAGAAAGCGCTCCATCCCAACACTTTCACATCAAGCTTTTATTTTTATATAAACTTGTAGGGTCTCAAATACTGAAAGGAAACAACTCAGTCATCCAGTCCTCGAAGTGATGCATTTTCAAGTCCTCTTTCCTACCAAAATAAACACTTGAATGAGTAGCGCTGCAGCAAACCGCATTTTAAACACTATAAAACAACATTAAACACCTACAGCAACTATTTTCTGAATTTCCAGCAGGTCGTTTAGGATCATAGTGCTGAGCTCGATCTGCTCCTGTCTGTCAGAGATCTTGCCATCAAGAGCCTCCAGATGTCTCACAGAAGGGCACTGTTTGAGAAATGTATGTAATAGTGAATTAAAACAGTGATTTTCTCTCTCTATATATATATATATATATATATAGCAATTTACCTGATTTGCAGGAAGATCTTTTAACTGGGTGTTTGTATCTTCAGTGTTTTCTGAAGTATGGACATTTATGAGAAATACCAACCTATGAAATTATTATTTAAATGTATAAAACTATCTTACCTGTCACTGATGCCATTTTTAGTTTTTGGTTGTAATATGGTAAATCCGGCAGTGGTCTGTCTTAATTAGGCCTATATATTAAATAGTCATTAGTCCTAATTAATTACATCAGCAAGTTAATTATATTTATCGGCATTAACAAGATGCACCTGGATCATTTACACGGAATTTGTTGCTCCTGCACGACTAAAATACACATCTAAATTTACATATTTTTTTGTTATAACGGGACTTTTATTTTGAAGTGTTTTATTTTGAAGGGCTGTCAACGTGGCTTCCTGCTTTATGAAAGCGTGCTGTGTGAGCTGTTAATGGTCTTCTTCAGCTGTATTCGCTCGGCCGGTGTTCTGCATGCGTTTCGACACTCACTCGTACACCTAAACATGCCGCTTAGGAGCGCCAGCATGTGTGAAGAGCTGAAGACGAGAGTCCTGCGGCTATCAGCGCAGAGCTCCGGGGAGCAGCAGGGTAAGAGCCGTGCTTGTTCAGTCGATAAACCAACACTTTGATAAACTCTCTTCTTAAAATACACTCGCCACACCCTCGCTAGTTATGTCATTTGTCTCTAAAATGTCCGACGGCTGATATTTATCTTGAATATTCCTATTACAGTACTGTATTTCAAGTTGTATTATAAACGACTGGTGCTACATTAGAATGTGCATAACCCTGGACTGACGTTCTGTGGTGGGAATGAGTTTCAATTAAGTTACTTTTTGTCATAGTTTAACAAAAAGAGACAAAATATTTGTCATAACGTCATAGCTAGGAATGTATGTGTTGTATCAAAATACACATGTAACGTTATATACAATTATGAAAAAATGCAGTGGTTTTCATAATGATGGATCTGAAAATTCAAGTAACGCGCGTTACGTAATCAGATTACTTTTTTTCACGTAACGTTAACTAGTAAAGTAATGCGTTACTTTTTAATTTACAGGAGACTCTAGACAAACATTTGTGTGTCTTTGTTTGTTGCTGAAGTGTGTTGAAATGTCTTCTTCTGCATTCTACTGTACGTTCCTTTTAAAAGTAACTTTCCCCAACACTGTTAATAAGAAGGGGAATTGAAATCAGTATTTTGAAGAATATGCCTGTAGTTTGTTTGTGTCTGTTGTGAGCACAGAGTGGACCGAGATCCTGAGCGCCACAGTCAAGGCTCTGAAAGCGGGGCAGGTCGTGGCCGTTCCCACTGACACCATCTACGGTCTGGCCTGTGTGGCTCAACACTCTGCGGCCGTCAGGAGAGTTTATGATATCAAAGGACGGAATGGAGACAATCCTCTAGCCATCTGTGTCGGAGAAGTACAGGACATCTACAGGTTCAGATCAGTTTACTGAAATGCCTCTTCTTAAACACTACTGTTCAAAAGTTTGGGGTCAATAAGATATCTTTTTTTTTTGTAAGAAATTAATGCTTTTATTCAATAATGCATTAATTTAAAGTGATGGTAAGATATTTTATTATGTTACAAAAGATGTGTATTCAAATAAATGCTGTTCTTCTGAACTTTCCATTCATCAAAGAATCCTGAAAATGTAAGCGTTACCACAAAAATAACTGTTTTCAACACTGATAATAATCATAAGTGTTTCTTGAGCAGCAAATCAGCATACTAGAATGATTTCTGAAGATCATGTGACACTGAAGACTGGAGTAATGATGCTGAAAATTCAGCTTTGATCACAGCAATAAATTACAGTTTACAATATATTTACATAGAAAATGGTTTAAATTGTGCTAATATTTTTATCAAGCGACTTGCAACAAATAAAAAAGATGAAAGACCCAGACTTTTTGAATGGTTGTGTATTTTAATGAGCACTTTTTTTTTTTTTTTTTTTTAATTACCATCACCTACTCTGGACTTTGGAGGAAATGCTACTTCCAGGGAATGGACCGGGATATTGACAAACTCATTTCGAAGGGTAAGACCAGAATGGAAAGTTGATTTCAACGCAAAACACAGTACACAGAGCTCTAACGTTTGCTTAGCTCTGGTTAAGATGAGAACCGGTTCTGTTTTTTTTTTTTTTTTTTAAGTACCATGGTGTTGTTAAATGTCAATCAAAAAAAATATGCACCATGGTAATTTGACTTAACAACATTTTTGTAAGTGTAACTTCATATGGGCTCATGGAATATATGACAAAGTACCATGGTATAACCCTCTGATGCTGTCACAGTACTGTGTTTGTGTTGTAAGGCGGTTCTGAATGCTTTCAGATTCTGTAAGGTGTCTGTGAAGGAGGAGCTGCTCCGAGATCTGCTGCCTGGACCGGTTACACTAGTTCTGGAAAGATCCTCCACACTGAACGGAGACCTCAATCCTTTTACCAAGGTTGGCTTTAGTTATTCTCCATATACATGAATACGTTAGAACTTATGTACATCTTTATATGTACTTTATATTTGAAATTTGTTTTACTGCTGAATGTACTGATGAATTATGGTAAACTAAAATATACTTTAATGTCATTTCTGTTGAAACTTGTATGTCATGTATTGAAATTTTTGTAATTACACATTTTTAATGATGAAGTTGCAATTTAGTACATAATGTATTAACTGTAATATTAAAGAACACACTACAGTTAAATGTATTATCAAGTACTTTGTCTGTGCTTTAGTATGCTATCAACACATCAAAATAAGTGTACTTTTTTTGAAAGCACGGCAAAAGGTTATTAAAATAATGATTTAAAATGTACTTTAAGACTTTTAATTTGGCATTATTACATAATGCACTTTTTAAAAGTCTACTTAAAGGGTTAGTTCACCCAAAAATGAAAATTCTGTCATTAATTACTCACCCTCGTGTCGTTCCAAACCCGTAAGACCTTCGTTCATCTTCGCAACACAATTTAAGATATTTTTAATGAAATATGAGGGCTCTCTGACCCTCCCATAGACAGCAAGGTAACTACCACGTTCAAGGTCCAGAAAAGTATCAAGATGATCGACGAAGTAGTCCGTGTGACATCAGTGGTTCAACTGTAAAGTTACGAAGCTACGAGAATACTTTTTTGCGCAAAGAAAACAAACATAACGACGTTATTCCACATTTTTGTTCCGAAGATGAACGAAGGGCTTACGGGTTTGGAACGACACGAGGGTGAGTAATTAATGGGTGAACTAACCCTTTAAGTGTGTTAAGATACAGTCATGTGCACTTAAAATTGATATTATCTGCGAGAACTTTTTTTTTTATTATTATATACATTTAGGATTTGAAGTTCACTACAAGTGCTCATTCAGTACAGTTAAGCGCACTTCTTTTTCACAAGGGACCTTTAGTTAATGTAATGTGTGTAGATCTCAATACTGTCCTCTTTTGTTGACTGTATCATTTAATATTTTGTGTGCTGTAGCTCATAGGGGTTCGTGTTCCAGACCATCCGTTCATGAGGCGTCTCTGTCAGATGTGCGGCGAGCCGCTTGCTCTCACCAGTGCTAACGTCAGCACACAAACCAGCACAGTTGCTGCTAACGTAAGTACAGAACTACAGACCAATTCTTGATGGGCGTCAGCTTGTGTTTGACGTGCTGGTGGTTTTCTGCAGGAGTTTGAGGATCTGTGGCCCAGTCTGGCTGTTGTGGTGGACGGTGGACCGATTGGAGATAAAAGCCGGTTGGGATCAACAGTTGTGGATCTGTCTGTGTGTGGCAGATACCGTATAATCAGACCCGGATGGTGAGCAACTCTCAGAACCATATTTACACATTCATAAAAGACTTTTGAAAGCGTTTTGCATAGTTTATTTATTATTACACTTTTTATTAGATTTAATTAATTTTATTTATTTGTGTGTGTCCTGTCAGCCTGACAACATTGGCACAAAGTACGGCTGTTGGTCAGTTATTTGAGATGAACCAAATGGTTGATATACAGTCAAACCAAAGTTTATTCAGACACCTTCAACATTTCACACATTATCACAGTTTATTCGCTATAGTTTGTAATCAAATGTGACAAGAACTCCGAGTTAAACTGTGTCAGCACAAATTCATCTTGATAATGTCAGATAACACTTAAGCAAAACATGGTCAGGTCAAAGTGTCGGAATAATTTTGATTCTAAATTTTTATCAGTTTTACTGGTGGTCCACTGTATGAAGAATTTTTGGGTATAATATGTCACAGTTTACTTTATTTTGCTATCCTCACTTTACATAAATGAACTATAGCGTCCTGCACCCACTAGTAAAAAAAAATCAAAAATTATATCTGGTGTTGGAATAATTTTTGGTTTGACTATATGTATATTGGTCAAAGAAGAAAAGGGGTTTTCAGGAATCACAATTTTTTTTTTTTTACGTGTCCTATTTAATATTTTTTTTCTGCGCAGAAAATAATTACCAAAAATTATGCCTGTTTGTCAGCAAGAATTTTGTAATCATTTAAAATATAATATGAACACATTTTCTTGATATATTGTAATAAGTACAGGTCAGAATAAGTGTGGTGTTTTATTGTTGCATAAATATCTATTACGCTGAATGACAATGGAACATTATTGCACCCATATTTTGACATTTGCTTTTCACAAATGTGTTTGAAGCATTAAAGTAGACGCTTTACTTGCATTTAATTTGCTTTCTATGTATATAAGATCACTTTTGTAAGTTTAATTTGATGCGAACACCGAAATGTGACATCTTGTTTTTGACCCAAAACAGAGCTAGTCATGTAGTCAACCATCCTGGCACCTCCCCACTTCAAATAAAATGCCTCTTCTCTTCTCTCTTGCAGTGCTCTCTCTGCTACAGTTCAGGTACTTGAGGGCAAGTATGGACTGCTGGAGGATCCTGTCAATCAGTGAGATTAAAGCACAGCACAAACCCACTGTAGGTCAAAGCCAGCCCAGAGATCAGACACTAGGCGCATTTCCATTACCCTTCAAACTGCGCAAATTGAAATTGCGAATTGAAAATACGCCTAATGGAAACGCGTCAATTTCACAAAAACGCCCATATATCGCAAAAAAGTTTTTACGCTCGCATGAGGTGGTTTGTCAGGCAATGCGAAAAAGGAATCATTTGCAAAACTGCAATGGAAACGGCTTTTTCGCATTTACAGGTCACATGGCGTATGTAAAAAGTCATATGATCATTCTTCAATGTACTATAACCTCCAAGAAACACTTCATCAGTGGCCGCTCCGGTATAAGGGGCTTTCCCTACCATTAATGCTTAGACAATTTACACTGCACACGTCTGCGGTGCAGTGTGGCTCTGATACGGTCACTGAAACTGATTGCGGCCACTCAATGCTTGTGTTTGTTTTTATACAGTCTATGGTTTATTCCAGCCGCGCCACGCACGTTTCTGAAGCGGCTCTCTTTGCTGCTTCTGTAAAGATACGCGCATAAACCTCCTTTGAATAAATATAGTAAAAATCCCACCAAAATCCATTGCCATGACTTATCGCGAGAGGCAAAAGGTTACGTTTAAGTCTCATAATGTTGGTTAATGTAAACACCGTCATTTCGCAATACTTTTTTATCGACATTTATAAAATTAAACACCGTCATTTTGCAATACTTTTTTATCGACATTTATAAAATATCGCCAAAGTTTTGCTCAAATCTGTAATGGAAACGCGCCTACTGTTCTGAAGTGTGTGCGATTCTTAGTAATGGGTCTTGAGGGTCTGATTTTCTGCGGGGGGTTTCCCTCTTCTTTTTAGAGAATTGAGTTTGGTTGATCTGATCTGAATGTGCTTTTGAAATGATCATCTCAGGCCACAGACTCAATTTTCTAGGTTCTCAAGTTGAAGACGCACATTTTTCTTCTCACTCCTAGTCGGACGTTTAGTTCCTGAAGACTCATTTCATATATTACTGTTATGTAAAGTGGAGTAGTTCTTCTGTTGCCATGACCTCTACACCACTGAGATGCCATTGGGGATACACTGACTATTATGTTGGGAATATTATTGTGAATACTTGATTGCTTTGTTACAGTACATTAATAGTTTAGATTCAAGGGTTTTGTTTTGTTAATTGGGATTTTATTTATTGCAACTTTAAATTTCAAATTATTGTGCCAATATTTCAGGGATCACCTGCTCTCTGGCAGAGCATCGTTTGTCTTTTTATAAAATAAACAAAAATAAAAAACCTAAATCTGATGTCAATAACTTTAATATTGTACTGTTTAAATGCAGCCGTTACCCCAGAAACCCTGTAAACAAAGCAGCTGCACGATAAAAGCATTAGCTATTAATTGCAACATGAAAATTTGATACTGGCATATCCCTATTGAAGAGTATTTTTCATTTGTTATTTGAATTTGTCATTTTCCATTTCCAAACAGAACTTAAGGTTGACTGTATTTTCTTTTATTTTATTAGTCGACATTTCATGTGATTCATCTTTCCAACTTCCATTTATTGTTCTCTGTTCATTACATCAACTCTTTAACCATTTACAAAAAAAACAAAATTACAATAGTGAATAGAGAAAATCTAACAATTCTATATATGTGTGTTTTTGTGTTCTTTGCCTCCAACGGACTTTTCATCTTCTGATTGGCCCATTGATCTGGTTCAGTGTGTTGGACTAAATTTTAGGTACTTTGTGTAGCATTGAGTCAAGCCGGTGTTACAATAGGGTCAAGTAATGTCCCAATAAGATAGCATTCATTTATGACTTTAATAAATATATACTGAAAATGATGTCATTAGCCTACTGCATTCTGTTTCATAATGTAGCCTACTACAACTTAAGCACAAAGTAGGCTATATTTCGGTTGTCTGCGTTCCGCGGACGTCCGCGTATAACGGCGCAACCGCGAGAGGGATTTTGGACAGCTGTGCAGACGCGGAACGGAACGCCGAAAGTTAAGTATACCCGGGCCATTAGTTAAATAGCATTTAACGCTGTGATAATTCTTCTGTTTATTATGAACGTTTTCCTAAATGCATACATTGATGCCACGTTTTAGGTCTAACTGGGCATATTAAAGTTCAGGAAAAAAAATTACTTGAACAGAAGGGAAACATTATTATAAAAATCTGAAGAGTAATATTCATATAAAGTTGCATGATATTGCGATAAAATATATGCCAGTAATTTTTGCAGCGTTTTGTCATTTAACCAGCAGATGTCCCCAGAATCATTTTTAAGTAGGGAAGCATTTTCTGATCAGCTGGTTCAACAAAGTTTAGTTTTTCCCATCACTAAAATGAATACATCTGGTACACTGGCTAACACATACTGCAGAGTTATTGCACATGGTACAAAACATTTCATAGTGCTACACTGTAGTGATAAATTGAGTCTACAATTTGATCCTTTTTTTATATAAAAATAAGGATTAGCTCTCTCTCTCTCGCTCTCTCTCTCTCTCTCTATATATATATATATATATATAGTACAGCATTAGTAACATTTACTTGTAGCATTCTGAACACTTCAGACTATATAAATTTAATCAAATGTGGCCAAGTATGGTGACCCATACTCGGAATT